TCTTTGAAATTAGTCATGAGTTGATAAAAGCTTTTTAAAGGGCCATGTGCTTTCTCATTGGGCTTTGTACTGAAGTTTCGCGCAACACCTTTGCGCATAATGTCAGTAAAAACATGCTTATGAGAATGCGCCTTTATGAAATTCCAGCTTTTTTAGGCCAAATTTCAGAATATTGCTATGAAAAGTCAGTAAGTTCAGTAAAAGATGAAATAAAAAATGCAAATATTACCTTTAAGGAATCCTCAAATTCCAAGAGAGCTGCTTCTCCAGCCCCAATTGTTGACTCAGAGTGGAGTGAAAGGGATGTATACATGTGTAAGTCAAGGAAATTTTGAAGAACATTCAAAAGAACAAAACCATCAGGGGATGCATCAGAAGTCAAGATATTGTATGCAGCAAAGAGAAAAAGCTGATGAAATATAGTGACACTGAGTTTTACAAACAATAACAGATTGTAGGGACTTTAAACTGACCTTGGCAATATCAGCATACTTTCCACCATCTGTGAATTCAATCTTCATCACCTCAGAGAAATGGTTGAGACCCTTCCACCGTGGAGTTAAGTCAATCCTCAAATACATTGTTCTCAATACAAACCAGAGAAATAAAAGTGGCAGACATACTGTTTATCCAACTGCTTGGCAGCCTCCTTTCCCAAGAGTCCAATGACACGTTTTAATTCTGGAAGAATATGGTCACCAAAGAGTCCACTCTCATGAGCATGAAGTCCATCCCAACTTAATGCTTGATATGGGTCACAGAGATGCATGTCCCAGAAGGTGTTCTAGAAGGTAACTGGTGTGAGTAATATTCACTAATGAGTCAAAATTTTACCTCAACATCACGCAGTCCATATTTTTTTAGAAGCTCTTCTTTTGATGCTGCATTCATTTTCTGTGCTTCCTGATATATTTGCTTCATTTTCTCTACTGTTCTCAGCTCAAATGCCTGAGACAAATTTGAAAGTTCATCTCCAGGAATGAGGCAGACAGGACATGGTGCATAGCTTTGCAGACCATGAATTAAAGCCATGACACATCTGCCAGGATGAAGATAGTGAGCTAGCCAGTAACAGCACAATATAAGTAAAAATACATTGAACTTACTGCTCTTCATAGTCAGCAGAAAGAATTAAAATAATTGGGAAAAGCCATCGTGAAATATTGTCCCCACACTCCTTTTGAAACCCTGTTTTACCATACAGCCAAATAGAATCTAAAATTTCATAGAGAGATCTGTGCCAAACAATTCGCTTGAAATTTACATATCCCTTTTTTGCATTTCCCCAGAGTCTTCAGTGATCTGATTCCATATCAGTCCAGCAAAGAAGAAGATTGAAAAAAAAATCATACAACTGGCAGCCATCCAACAAGCCATCCACCTGCAAACCCATTGCCATTTCTAATATCTGATGGTAGGTTTGCACACCTTGCAAAGACTGGATAACCCTTTGCAGTTCCAAATGAAGACAGCTGACTCTTGTCAGCATAAATAAGCAAGAAAACAGGTGAAGCCCCATCAGGTAATTTGGTCTAGGAGGTTTAGTATAGGATATGATTAATCAATCCTCTGCAAGCATGCCCACCTGAAGATTCCACCAGTCATCTGCAGTCCATGGCTCATCTATGAACTGCTCCCATCCTAATCCATCCCAACGATAGTGGCATTCAGCATCCCACCAAAATAGTGGAACCACATTGGGTTCATCAACAAGTTCCTCGATCCAATTCCAGATTGGCCGAGTGGACAATGGGAATATGATATCCTTGTCTTTATACTTGACTGCAATTGACTTATGCTTGAACTAAATATAAATATATCAAATCAATTTAATAACTAAGACATCAAATTTATTCGAGGGAACCTGATGCTACTTACTCCAGTACCCCGAGTTCTACGTGCATCTGTCCAAATGCGCTCAAGGTCATGTGTATTCGATAGAGTAAAGTCATCTGGGTGTTTAATGACCTTCCGAAAAAGAGACAAGAGAGCAGTTGACTGTTCAGCATTCAGGTGTGATTCGAGCATTAGTTCAGCAATCTCGAAATCAAGACGGGAGTGGAATGGCTCCCAAGGCTCATCATTAGGAACTTCATCATTTTGTGGCTTGTTTCGTGGGCCTAAATAATCATCAAAACGAAGGAACTCTGGTCCTTTACTGCTCTTTGGGTGAAATTCAATTTTGATGTCATCAACTTCTGGCACAAAATTGGCATCAACAGCATGAGCATTTTGCTGAGAAATGTCATCTAGTTCCATTGGCCCTGATACAGGATAAATGTGAGAGGATATAAAGAGGGTCTTTATCGACTTTACTGACCATTGTCAACAATGGCCTCCCCTGTATCTGATGCTGAGATGGCATCAGCTGAATGAAAGTGCCTTTCATGTGGAGCTGCTAATTTAAAATAAAATATAGGTCAACTCAAAAGAAAATAGAGAAATGGACGCACTCAAATTTCCGTGAAAGTCATCATGTTCAAGAGGATCAATCATAATTGGCGAGGACACATGAGCAGAGTTTTCATTGATTGCATCTGAACCTGTGTCATTTCGAGATGATAAGTGTGATGATTCTACTTACAAATGGTTCTGTTAACTCCCCGATGTGTGTGACAGTTCTTCAGATGTTTTCCCATTCTTTCGTACACATGCTGTTTGGTGCTTTGCAAATCCTCGAGCTGATTTATATTCCTGGCAGTACTGACAATACTGATTCTTCTGAGATGGTGCATGTCCACCAGCTTTCTTCTTTGGATGTGGGACTTTCGCATAGAGGAGGAGATGGACAAAGTGTGGGTGGGGAAGGAAGGAAGGGTGGGGAAAGAAGGAAGGACATTCTCGCAGTCTGTTGCTTTCCCATTGTCGACATCTTCGGTCTTGATTGATAACAAGCGCATTATGTTATCTGTCATTGATCATGATCTAGATTACTGTGTTACATTGCCCTTCAACGATTATGATCTTGTAGCCAAGCTTTACATCAACTAATCATTTATTCTAACCCAGGTAATCGGCTTTACAAGCCAGAGAGCGGCATCATCTTATCTAAACCTTTATCGCAAGTGTGGCTCCAGATTATGACAATCTCCGACTATTACAAAAGCATTACAATGTGACTTACAATGGAGTTTGCCGAAGCCAATGCCACATGCATTGTAATGCACTCGGCGGTTTTCGACAGTAAATAGTATGCTAGGCAACATCAGTTGATAAACATGGATCAGTATGGCCAACTAGCATGTGAACTGACAAGAACAGGGTCTGAAATAACAGGCTAAGGTTGAACCAACATTGCAGTAGGAGAATTGAAATACTTTGAAAATGCAGACATAGGAAAGGCCCCTGGTGTGGTAAAGGTTGATGGCTGAATAGATGCCAAAGTTATTGGTAAAAATGCTGCCAGGAATTGTGCTCATCCAAAGAACATGTCAGTAAAATAGACTTGGTGGTACAGGCCATTGCACTGCATGGCATATACAAGGCCTATTCAAGTAATTAAGTACAGACATACTTCAGGCATCATTAAACCTGCAAACATATTTTTATGCATGTTGAAAGTTCAATGATTAACATTCAATATGACTGCTGTGTGTCTATCAAGGGAGACAAACACTATCCAGACAGTATTTATTTTCTGATTGAATAGGTTCAGCCAAATGTTGGAACCTGGCTAATGTTGTAATATTAGAAATAAGTTTTTAAGGTAACAGTAAGGTATAACATTTGAACTAATGAATATATATACTGAAAGCAAACCAGAGAGCCTAAAACCTAAGATCATCAGTGTACTAAAAATTAGTGCTTGAAGGTTAGGTTAGTTAACTGGAAAATAACTGAGACTGAACTGGACCATAACTGATACTAACTGCAAAATATACTAACTGATTGTAACTGTAACTGGAGTCCAGTTAGTGGTTAGTCCAAATTTTAGAATTCATGAGACTGATCAAAACTGGTTAGGACTGGTCAAAATTTTTGAAAATTTTCACAATAATAGAGACATATTGTAGCTTTTGAACAATTCTAAAAATGTAAATTTTGGTTGAGCATTGATAAAGTTATAGCAAAACTCACAAAAATCATCAAATCTGCTCTAATTTTCTCATTTCTCAACCATTTGGGATGCTCTTGGGCTCATTTTGATCACAAAAATAGTGATTGATTTATTTTATACTACAAAACAATTATTTATGTGAGAAAAAACCTGGTTATAACTGGTTGATGACTAGTTATAACTGTAACCAGTTAAAACTGGATATATAACCTGGTTAGTTGCAGTCTGGTCTGGTTATTTAAACATTTCTAATTTTACCTAACCAGTCTTGGTCTCAGTTAGGGTCTCGGCACCAGAAACTGACCAGACCAGACTTTTAAACATAACTAAAAATAAACTGGACATTGCCACATTTTTTATTATGACACGGCCCTCCGCCAAACCTCAGTCATCAATCCCATATAAGAACAAGTCCTAAAAAGGCCTTGTAATACCTGAACATCCAGCCTATTCTTATATATTCACAGGGTGTTTCATCAAACATGCACTGCTCAGAGTCAGAAGGCCAATAGGTGTGAGCCATAAGGTGGTGAAGTCTTGTGGCTTGGGAATTAGGTCATTAGAGTGAAAGTTGAGTCACAGCATGTGAGCCTTGGAGTTGGACATGTGAGTAAAATGACTTGCAAACTGAGATGGGGCTGATAAGGGAATCCATACATGGCTTCCCTCAAATGTTAACTACCTATGGCCAGTTTTGTAGCATCCATATCGTTCCCATTCCTGATCCCTGATGTTGGTCCCTAAGTTCAATATTTGAATGAAAACTTTAGATTACACCCTGCTCTACATGTACATGAGGATTCATCCTGGGAAGTTGCTTGATGTTGGCTTGCTATTCAGGAAGATGTATGGGTTGCATATGGGATAATGCAAGGAGTGAGAGAAAAGGACTAGGTTAAATGGGTATACGAGAGATATTGTCTAAGACGTTAAAGGAATCTATGGCAAGATGGCCGAGCGGTTAAGGCGTGTGACTCAAGCGAAAGCTTGCCTGTGTACAGCAGGTCTTCTCATAACGTAATGTTGCGTGGGTTCGAATCCCACTCTTGTCATGACTTTTTGCCATGTTCATGTTTTGGCGCTGGCATATTTGTGACCTGTCGTGACGTCAAAGCGAGGGATGTGAACTGATGCGGTCGACGCGCGTCTCACACATCATCCACACTGGTCCGAGTTGACACAAAATTTTGAACTTAAAGGTCTGGGTCAAGTGGACATCAATGTTGAAACACATGTACGGCTACTATTGTTGCCCGGTGGCCGATTCGGAAGGATGTCGTCGATCGTAACGCCTACACACCGGACCTGCCATGGTTTGTCTTTACCTGCCCCGATCTTCAATTATTATTGACAGGAAGAACTTCAGATATCGTTAGGACATCCTTCTCCCCGGCCTAGTTGTGATTGCTGCTCCCTTCGCAGAAGGTGTAAGACAGCGGTAGACTAAGGTAATTCGTGCCTTAGCCTGTTTCATCCGACAGCCTGCCTTTTATGGGTCGAAATATACCACATCCGAATGGTCAGCCAATCTTCGGCATCTAAAAATACCATAATAAATATGCCTGGTCAATGTTCGAAGCTCAATCGCCAGCCGCGTTTGCATTATCCGCCCGTCTCCTCCTTTTACTATCCACTGCGGGCCCCTTTTTCGAATTCCTGCTTATCCTTCCTTCCTCTGCTGCCGACAAGCAATCATCTATCTCTTCGTCGACTTTATTCGACATACACCCTATCATTATTGCCTTGGTCTTAGCCGTTAGTTCTTCCAAGGAATGCTCGCTACAACACAAAAGCCAAAATCAAGGTTTCCTGCCCTTTTTGCCCTAGGCGTGGCTCTTTTTTCCTTGGGCGTTGAAGCTCAAGGTCCAGCGCTAGTCGGCGAGGTGGCCATAAAAGGTGCGTCAACCCCCAATCCCCTTATCCGCCATTGGAGGTGGGTGCCACGCACGACCAACACTTTGGACGAACATTGCCAGGGTTTTATCGTTGGCGTGCACTTTCGAGTCACAGATAATATTCTTCGTGAATCCGCGCTCTGACATGAGAAGGGCTACTGACACATTTGTATGTAGACGCGAGGAAGGAGTGCGAGCCATATCATCACGCCGAAATCGCCGACGCTCTTGGTTCTTTCCCGCCCATCTGGCAGGCCGCCAGCATCGTTTCTGGGGACAGCAATGCTGAGGCGAAATGGGCGAGCATCCAACCCAACGTTCCCGACATCCCGCCCAAGGTATTTATTCCCTACTGGCTCCTTCTCGGTAGGGGAGATACTCAAATAGAGAGATAGGGTAACCTTGAAGGAAACGTCGAAGGGATCAATTATCCATCGGATGACCCCGACTGTTGGTGGACGAATACGAAGTGTACGCAATCTAAGGTTACTGGAGTACCTGAAGATGTGTCGATCATGCCTGAGGTTTGTAAGACTGCTTCACCCAAAAAACCATTTGACGCCTAACAACTTGATATAGCCCCGAACACTTGGGTACGGATTCGACGATGGGCCGAATTGCTCGCACAATGCTTTCTACGACTATCTTCAATCTCAGAACCAGAAAGCCTGTAAAGATTGCTTTCATTTACCTTCTCGGATCTCTTACGATTACATTTTTGTTCAGCCATGTTCTTTATCGGAAGCAACGTAATGGATTGGCCGTTAGAGGCGAAAAGGGCTGTCACTGATGGTTTGTGTCAGATTCAAACTACTTTCTGGACCAAGGCTAACGCATATACGCAGGACACGAAGTTTGTATCCGTGCGTCCACATTTTCCATATTTCTATCATCCAACGCCTGACGCTCTACTCTAGACGGATGGTCGCATAAATATAGTAAGTTCCTGTACGCGATGTTTTTCAATGGCTCAACGCCGTCGTCGCTAGTGACTGCTTTTGAGAGTCCAGATGCCTTTGCGGAACTGTATTATAGTCAGTTCTAATTTTTCAATTCTTTCTTGCTGCCGTTAACACAACCTATCCAGGTGTGAGTCCTTGGATCAGTTGAGATGGGTCCTAGTCGGGCATTTATTGATATGAATTGCAGATGCAAGCAGTTAAAATTGCCACTGGAGTAACGCCGACCTGCTGGAGGGTGGGTAGCCTAATTTTTTATTCTTTTTTATATTGTTAACTCCTGGACACTATCATAGCCACCTTACGGCGACGTTGACGATCGCATTCGTGCTATCGCCCACGGCCTAGGACTGCGTACAGTAATGTGGATATACGATTCGCAAGACTGGCAGCTTGGTGTTACACCTGGAGTTACGTCTGAAACGGTAGATAAGGAATACCAAACCATGATTGATGATGCAAAGAAGGGCATGTTTGATACCGTGCGTTATTTTCATTTTTAGCTTTGCACGTTTCTGATCTCACTCAAATTTTCAGGCCGGAACTATCATTCTGGCGCATGAAATCAATGAAATTACGATGTCTCACGCAATAAAGTACTATCCAAAGCTTAAAGAAGCTTTCGCGGTACGTAAATCATCCACTTCGACTCTAATCCACACTCGTCTAATTGTACTGTACTGCTTAGTACATCGTCCCTGTCTCCGTTGGATATAACCTCACGCATCCTTATGTAGAGCAGGATTTCACTATGCCTAACTTTGCGCAATGTGAGTCTTGCGTGTTTAGTTGGGTTAAATTTCTCTCCTAAATATGTTTCTTCAGACATTGCCGCGCCTGGAACGAGTTTAGGAGCAAAGAACGTAACCAACTCAACGACGCCAACAAACGGGACGACACTTACAACTTCAAATAGCTCGCTGCTGGCTTCAACTACTGCGCAGGCGCTTGACGCTACGCCAAGGACGGGAGGCGCCTCAGGCTTGGAAGGCATGGGCGGATTGAATATCATTATTGCTGGAATAGTGGGCTTTTTGTGCGCTTCTGCCTTGTAACGTTTAGGCTAGGCTTGAAACGTGTGCGTTATGCATCGCGGCCACCGTCTCTCGTGGAAAGCGGCATCTATGCCTAACGTCCTCCGCAATTTTTTTCTTGGTTTTTCTATATCCATATATTTAATATTCTATACCTCGATTGCTCGTCCACATATATCGTACTATGTACCAGTAGTTTTGTCTTCCGTAATCTTTTCTTTTTTTCTTTCATCGTCTTACATTCCAATTAAAAAATGGTATTCGTATCTCTCCTCCTCTTGATCTACATGTCGATTTTCTTGGTATTAAAATTCCCTGGTCCACCAGGAAACCAGAATTGAAAGTGTAGTTGAATGATGCTGACAAACGATGGCAAACGATAATTAATTTCGTCGTAGGGTCCAAATAAGGCGGGCAAGTTAACTAACAGGAACGGTCAGCAAGTCGTGAGACCTGTCCATGTCAACTATCGCCCTCAGCCCTGGCACCATCTTCACAAAAACACCAAGAAAGGACTTGTTACCCAGCCTTCACCTTCCGAATGACTACCAACAACGATAGCAACACAGGAAGACCAACTCCAACGACATTTATTCGCGTTCAAAATCCCGCTCGGGATATGCTCTTTCAAGCTGTAGCGCCCTCCACAACGTATAAACGGACTGCTCAAGGCTCTATCACTATGACCTGCTCTCAGTGTTTCAAGCATGAGGAGACTGAGTGTGTTGAGCTACGCAAGTGTTCAAGGGTAAGTAAGATATTCCTCTAAGAACTAGTCACATCTTATTCTTGACTTCCTCTTTTAAAGTGTAAATCGGTTTGGTATTGCTCGAAAGAGGTAAGAATTACCTGAAATTTTTAACAAACGTATATTCAACAAGTTTATTTTCATTACGCTCGAAATCAAGTGCCAGAGGGAACATTGGTACGAGCTTAGACCTATCTAAGTATTCGATTCCTTATCCAATGATAGGGCCGTGCACAAAGAAACATGCCGCGACGTTGAACGTAGCCTTGCGAAGCTCATAAAACACATCGTAGCTAATCCAATTCTGCGTGGTTACCTTCAAGTCTGCTTGATCCTCGATTTTAATCTTGTCGATAACCCGGCACCGAATACACCTTTCATGTCTCGTGTCGACGTAGGCCTTCAGCCTTCGGATATAAATGTTTTCCATCGTATGTGTACTGGGTGGTATGCAAAAGGCCAGGAGGCGGAGCCAGAACGAATTGAAGGAATTTTCCAGGTGAACGCAGTTACTGCCTCGCCCCTAATATCCCACCTTATCCTCATTATCTGCTCACCTGGAAACAAACTCGAGACCAACTTTGCGCTGACGGGCAGGCATCTACTCCAGTCATTATCCTTGAATTTGTTTCCAACATTATCAAGGGTCCACTACAATTATGCTACCCATATCGTCAACTTCGCTTACCATCGCAAAGAAAAAGGAGCCGTTAGTCAATAATCAATTGACTATTTGGCGAATAAAGAGGAGGAGTAAAGCAGAAAAACTTTTGGGATTCGGGAATCGTCTCAATTTAGCTAATTTAGTAGCCTTCTTTGTAACGTAAAGACGGCCCGGTCCGCTTATCCCCGACGGACTTTCACTGATCGGGTTCATGCTGCGTCACGACCTACTGCGAGCCTTGCTTTTCTTCTCTGTCTCATTGGTTCGTGACGACATGCCACCTTCTTGCCTGAATCTCCCAGAGCTTGGTTCTGTTTCTAAAGGCAATACATCTGATGCTCATTCCCATACATTCACTGTATGAATCATCCTCAATTTGCAGCCTTACTTTTATTGATTCAAGTCGCCTATGTTACCTCCAGATAGAAACTGGAAAGGAAGCTAATGTTCACCCTGATGGTTTACGGTTTACCCGAGGTCGTTCTGATGGAAATTTCGCAGAATATGGATCTAGTCTCCATTTTACATACGCGGCAGGTATTACAATGGATTCCCGTTTATTTCCTTGTCCAGGTTCTAACCTCAGCTTCGTTCTGCAGGCTATCAGACAGCTCTCCTACCTTCCCAGGACAAAGGACGTCTAGAGAGAAGTTTTTCTTCGACATTCGCAGCGCCTTCCTCAAATGATTCGGCTAGACAGAGCAATCTCGTGCTGCACTGCGGCTGAACTAGAGAGGTTGTTATTGCGTTGG